ATTACACTTTTGCAGGCTCCCGGGTGGGGATGGGGCGGGAGGGGGGTCTGGAAGCTGCGAGCGTGCAGAACTTCTGTTCCTCTCCCCTCTTTCTCCGCAGTCAGAGTTACAAGCTTATATGGTCAAAGAAAAAAAAAATAGTAAAGAAAACGTATAAAATAACAATAGAAAAAGTAATACTTCTGGGAGAGGCGCCGCTGCGGCTCCGCGGAGCTTTCGTTCTTCTTATATATTTTTTTAAATGGAGTTTCCCTTCCGCCACGTGAGTACCGCCTTTTTGGCCAAGAGTTTAGCCGCGTCCTGGGGGAGCCGCCCTGGCTGCCGGTCATGGCCCCCGGGCGGGGCTCCGTAGTTCTGCAAGCGGCCGGGACCCAAGGGACGTGGTCCGGGAAGGTCCGCTAGAGTCGCCTTCTGGCTTCTGGTCCCTCTGGAGGAGGCGGCAGCGGCGGGCCCCAGGGCCCTGGTGAGCAGGAGGCTCTGTTTAGCATTTGATCTTGGAGGTTTTGAGCTCCTTCACCTGTGAGTGCAGCGTCTTGTGGACAGCGAGAGTCCTGGACTGGCAGAAGCCCTTCCCGCACTCTTGACACTTGAAAGGCTTTTCTTTGGAGTGAATATATCTGAGGACACAAACAGACAGGGAATTAACTAATCCTTGCAACATGATGAGATGTTAGAAACAGTTGCCCAAGATCCCCTCCCCCAACGGTGAGGTGCTTGCCCTCAAAAGGGGCGGGGGAGAGGGGCCTGGGGGGTACCTAGAGAGGAGCTGGCAAAATGCTGTGTGCGGATGGAGCAGGGAGGTGGGAGAGAACACCCGCATGCCCTCCTTATAAGGCCGGGGTCAGCGCTGAAGGTGAGTGAGGGGACCTGGGGTAGGACAACTTGCCGGAGCTGCACTGTCCCAGAGGGGACCCACCAGCCACATGTGGTTATTAAAATAGAAATTAAACAAAACGTAAAAGTTAGTCTGTCAGTCACACTCCTTGCCCATTCCAAGTGCTGAGTTGTCACATGCATGGAGTGTCACTCTCCACTGTAACAGGGACTTGCACTGGACAGCACTGAGGATGGAGGGAGGGGTAAGAAGTCGTGCATCCTTGACCTTGTCTGGAACTCAGGGAGACCTGACTTAATCTCCCGTCCTATGTATCCCCTGTTCTCTCCCCCCATGCTGCTCCAAAAACTGATCCCTGGCTTCCTTAGCTATTTTAGGGAATTCCCAAAAGCTGGGGAGCCCCTGGGGGGGGGTGTCTCCAGAACCTCCTCGTTAGGGAGGAGGATGGTGAGGACAGAGGCAGACAGGCAGCTCTATTCTGGGGCCACCCACGGTGCCGCACCTGTGGTCTCTGAGGTGGTCTTGCCTCCGGAAGGCTTTGTGGCAGATGTCACAGGTGTAGGGCCGCTCGTCCGTGTGCGTCCGCTCGTGGATAAGGAGGTTGTAGGACTTGGTGAAGTGGCGGCCGCAGAACTTGCAGACAAACTCCTTCTTGGTCTTGGAGGGCAGGCGTCCTCTCGTGGGCTTCTTTTCTGGGGACAGCTTGGTCACATCCAGGAGGGCGCCCAGCCCACCAGCAGGGGAGCCGGGACCCTCCCCACGGCCAAGCTTGGACGGATCTTCTTGCGTGGCGGCCAAGGCCAGGTTGGCAAAATCAAAGCGGGGCTTGGTCTTGAGCGCCACGGGGCCGCCGCCTCCAGCGGTGATCTCCGGCTTGGGCTGGATGACGTGGGGGAACCAGGGAAAGGCTGGCAGCTGGAAGCGTGCGTCCACCAGGTTGGACACGGCTCCCGGCACTTTGGAAAAAGAGGAGCGCGGCAAGTGCATGGCCGGGTAGCCCAGCGTCCACTGGTGCAGGTGCACGGCGTGCAGCGCGCTGAAGCCGTACAGGTTGGGCAGGTGGTCCGAGGGCACCGTGGGCAGGCCGTTTACCGCCTGGAGAAAGGAGTAGTTGGTGAGCTGCAGGGAGGGGTGGATGGGCACTGGTGCGGGCAAGGTTTTGCTGCCCATTGTGGTCGTGTCTGTGGATTCTCAATCTGGGTCTGCAAAGATAAGAAGGGAGTGGGGAGAGGACAAGTTCAGGGCAAAGCATCCTCCTGAATTCCAGCCCAGCTGTTTCCTTCCTGTCCTCCAGTGCAGGAGCCTGGAGTCTAAGACACCACCCAGGGAACCCACTGATCTCAAAGAAGAAAAAGAAGAAGGCAGGAACCCACTGTGATCCAAGGGCTCCCTCCAAATGGCCTCTGGCACAGATGCACAATTTGATAGAGAAACCAGCAGGAAAGTAAATCCAACGCAATGCAACCGACTTAAAGGAAGGAGTGTGGCTTACATGTTTCTAAGAAAGGCAGAAACACGGGGAAACTGGCATGCAGGAGCTTCCATCCACGCAAGCCCGAGTCAACACAAAAGTATCCTCTCCTGCAAAGATAACAGGAACCCCTGGAAACACACTTACATACTCACGTGCAAATAAACACAGAAACACACAGGGACAGACCCACACACTCTGAAGCAGAGTTGACAACAAGGTGCAAAGATGAAGTAGGAAGAGCAGTGTCCTACAAAATGCAGGAAGCCACACACAAATACGAGCGGCATCATTCCGCACTCAGGAAGAGCCTTCCAGACAGACAGCACCCGTCCAGGCTCACACAAACCCATGCATTTCCCCGCTCCTGTGCATGGTGGTCGACCAGCTGACCTTCAGTTTGGCCTCCAGAAGCCATATGCTCTTTCTCCTCAAAACTCTCAACGTTGACCACAGATTTGCTTTTCGGACTCACTGTGAATGAGCCCTGTTGACAACCCCCTCTCTGAAGCTGTTTGTGGACTGATGCCCTTGGGGGTCACCTTCCTTTCAGGGAGCACACTGACACCCATCTTCATGAACTCAGTCAAACATCTGCAGTTGTACACAAGGGGACTTAGGCGCCCTCCCTACCCCATAAAAAGGGGGGCAGGGGCTTTGGAGTCTCTTGGCGGGTGTTTGTGTGTGTGGTGAGCCCTGGACAGGTGGGTATGCCCGAGGGCAAGAAAGAGCATGGAGGCCCGGCACCGCTGCTGGGCTCGAGCCACCGTCCAGCTGCAAGGCCAGAGGGAAGTCATGCGGAAGTGACCAACAGGCTGGCATCTCCTGGCCTCTTGGGTCAGGGTCTCCAGTCTCCACGGACAGGGCTATGCTCTGCAGAGAGGCCTGTATCTCTGTCTTTCCCAGACACTCAGGTCTGTCTAGCGGAGGCAAAAACAAGAGGAACGAAAGTGAAAAGTGCACCCTCTCGGAGCTGAACTCCCTCCAGGACACTCAAGTGCTGACCGCCCTCTCCTCTAGGCTCTGCACTGAGGGCTACTCAGAAAGTCCTTGTGGGGCAGGGAGCTTGGGACACCCTTCTCCTTTGCCCCCCCCCCCCATCCTCTGAGGCACACTTCCTTTACCCCCTTTCCCCCCTCTCCTCCTCCTCAGATCTCTCCTTCCCTGGGTGCAGGACGCTGCTCTGCTTCCCCCTTCACCGCACAGGCTGACACCTATCCAGGCAGGTTGGGCGCCTGGCTCCCCTCAGCCCAGGCCCAGACTCAGCTGCCTTTCCTTGCAGCAAAGCCTTTAAGGAGAAGAAAGTGCCGCACTCGTTGGCGGTGGCGGGAAGAGCAAGGACAATCTGGACCCAGGAACCTTGTCTCCTGGAGGGTCACTCGCTGTGTGTTCGGCCAAAAGGACAGAAGCTCTGCTGGGGGTGGGAGTGGGGGGTTTTCAAAACACCCTGCGGCGAAGATGTGCGTGCTCGGGTTCCCTTGGCAGTTGAATGAAAACCTGGTCTGACCGCAGCAATTAATTCAGCCTCCGGGCTAGGAGAGGCTCAAATCTGTCGCGGCCGAACCTCCAGAACGGAGTGCTGGCGGCCGGCGGGCAGGGCCCTGGCCTCTGCCCCCATCTTCTCTGCTGCCCCAAGCGAGGGCGCGTGGGGGACCAGCGGAGACCATCCTAAAACTTGGGACGCGGGGAAGCAACCTAGGAACCGGGCCAGAGGGAAAACAGGGGCCGTTTTGTGTTGGGAGGGAAGGAGGGAGGAGAAGGAGAAGGAGAAGGAGAAAACTCGCCAACTTCAAAGGTTGGCGAGGTGAGCGCTCTTTGATTTGCTGTCACCTCCTCCTCCCCCAGGAGCTGGAAATCAGATCGCTATCTCTGGCTCCCCGAGACCTGCCTCGGGCCCTCGGCTCCCTGGTCTTGGTGCTCGGCCTACCCGCGGCCAAGTGAGCGTCGGGACTCCGGCCGCACACGGGTCCGAGCCCGCTCCGTGCCCGAGTGGGAGAACCCAAGCACCTGGCCTTCCCACCTGGCCCG